TAGCATCTACTCGGGGCGGCTAGTTGAGCCAATAGAGGTATGCTGTTGGTATGGAAAGGGTCAAGGTGCAACTGATGTGATGTGGAAGAAACCTTTCCTTGTTTAACATCATTAACATGTGAAATGGCTCCAACAGTGATGAATTTGTAACATATCAGTGAAAATATCCCTCTCTGTATTAGTCAGGGCTTTCTGTTACTCCAGATGGACAGGGTAATTATAAGATGATGTGTATTTTAAAACCAAAGAAGAACCAAGCAAAACAGTGCGGGAGTTACCTTGATGCTCCACTTCCGCTAATATACTGACCAAATAATTGAGTGGAAGAAATTCGATTTGATATGACAGTCTGTCCACTACTAGCCTACTGTGCTGTAAAGGAAAATACGTTTCAGATTAAGTTGTTCTGTTACCAATGAAATTAGAAACATTTACCATCTAGGCCTCAGTTTTTTCAGGAGGTCTCATATTCTTCACTGTGGCCTGCCCTCTTCTGCTGCTATGCCATCAGGAATCCAAACACTGCATGCCCATTAGTAATAACTATTGATTTACATGCTTCAGTGCTATTCACTAGGAGTAACGTCTGGGTTTATTTCCAAGAGTCTTCACATTCTTACCTGTTTATTTCTCACTTTTTCAAGCAAGAGTTTAACATAGTTCCTTGCAATCATATTAGAGGTTATAGGATGATTCCACAGGTGACAAACCTTGCGACCCTTTCTCTGTAAGCCAAAAGAATATGATAGATAATTAAAACTGTGAGAAGCAAAAGTTTCAGAGGCAAGCTGTACCTTAAAGATAAGCTATTATTAGAGCTGTGATCATGTCAGTGTTCAAGATGTGTAACTGAAGCAGTCTTTCACATATGAGAAATCAGACTTATAGAAGAAAAACTGTGCTTGTGATCTGAAAGCGAATCACAAAACAAAGGAAGCTAATCTGTAAATCATGGGAAGTAAGAAAACCTCCTGCAGCAACCACCACACACTATCAGAACTAAGGGATTTCCTCTTGTAGTTATTGGCAATGTGTTAAAATATAGTTGGGCTCTCAGATACTGGACATGTGTGAACAGCCGGCATTCAGTCGTGGTAGATGGAGGTCTTTCGGCAAATGGTTTGCTTTCCCCTGGCAGAGCAAAATCCAGCTTGCTCAATGCATCTTTCAAAGCATCTTTCTTTAGACTTCAGGACTCTTTTAGGTAGTGGCTCAAAAGGTCATTCTGCTAGTACAGCTCACTGGGCTCTACTCACCCAACACACAAAGCTTTGCCCCGCCGAGTGCCAAGTACCTGCATCTCATTTTTCTTATTTGCCCACTTCTAGTCCCCAAAGAAAGCATCAAGCCCATCTCTTACTGGTTGCATGAACTGACAGGTGTCACAAACTGACAAAAGATGACTGTTCCTAACAAGCCCCATAGAATGGAAGGAGCAAAATACAAACCAAAACAACTAATTCTGGTTCCAAACCCAGATTAAAACATATGTATCTGTTTTAAAACCATAAGCTTTAAAAATGACTTTAAATGCAACATTATGGCCTTGAAGACAAGCTGTTCAGTTGAGTCCCTCCAACAAAATGTAGCAAGACAGAGCCAGCTTTGTTTTCCCAGGCAGCCAAATAAAGAATCCTTTTCTGTCAGAAAGTTCAACTATTCCTTGCTTCTTTAAATAGCTGTATTAGCCAATGGGAAAGAATGCAAGATGCAGAACTAGGCTTCACATGTCACCGAGAAAGAGAGAGATTTTATTTATTTGTTTGTTTGTTTGTTTGTTTGTTTGTTTGTTTTATACCCCACCCATCTAGTTGACTGACTACTCTGAGATGCCTTTACATTGACCCTGGCAGTGCCTAAAGAGGAAATTCCTAAAGATGCTTCATTCAGCCCTATATTACAGGAGACAAACATGTTCATATTTCACATGTCACCGAGAGAGAGAGAGATTTTATTTATTTATTTGTTTGTTTGTTTGTTTGTTTGTTGAATTTATACCCCACCCATCTAGTTGACTGACTACTCTGAGATGCCTTTACATTGACCCTGGCAGTGCCTAAAGAGGAAATTCCTAAAGATGCTTCATTCAGCCCTATATTACAGGAGACAAACATGTTCATAACCTATGTACAAGGGACAGGGAGCTCCTGCTATTTCTTTGTCCATGTATCCACCTTCAAAAGGGTTTCCCCCCTCCCTCCAGCCACAACGTAGTTTAAATGAGCACATGGCCCAGAAACAGACTGCCAGGATTAAAAGCCAAGGGAAACAAACAAGTGCCAGTGGCTGGAAAGCAGTGACAACAACCCTACCTCTAATCAACAAAGTGCAGTCCTCATATTGGTGTGCATGGCATGAAGAAAACTTTGGCTGTTGACAAATATTTAGTAGATCTAGCATGTTACAGTTAGCTTCTACCCTTCTACCCACAGCAACGTGTAAATCTTTGCAATTCCCTGCCAATAACCTGCACCAAGAAGCTGAATACACATTCACAGTTATTGTGCAACTACTGTACTGTAAAGCCTGCAAAACACTATGCAGGTTATTTCCCCTCTTTAATTAATTCTTGTTAGGGATTCATAAATCACTCGATTTTGACAGGGGAGATATTGTGCAGCCAAATATCTCATTTCCATATTTCAGTTGTACTCTAATTGCACTCAAAGTGAAATGAGAATAGTTGACATGTGCAAACATTGCATAGCACATTTGTTAATACAGCCGACTCCTGTAAGCTCCAAAGGTAAGCTCCAAGCTATTAGTTGGAGCACGTACTGCGTCAAATCCGTGATGCTTGAAATATGAGCCAACAATTTCCCTAGTGATAACGTTCTGTTTCGTCACTGGAACGAAGTTTACATTCATGCCTTTCCAACCAAAGAAAGGTAAAGTGTTTCAGTTAATTTGTGGGAGGAATGCTATTCCCTCTCAGAAACAAAAGCTAAACAACTTTTAAAAGAAGCTTAATTTCTCACTAATTTTCAGAAATCATTACAGCAAAAGGTTTCTCCAATTATCTTCATAAACATCCTGGCAGATCCCTCAAAACACACAGAAACAAATCCTTAAAATATATACAGTGGTGCCTCGCTTAACGAGCGCCTCGCTGAGCGATGAAATCGCTTAACGAGGCACTCTGGGCCATCGCTGGAGCATTCGCTCAGCGATGGCCCCTATGGCGATTTTTCGCTTTGCGATATTCGCTAAGCGATTCGCTTAGCGAATATCGCATAACGAAGAGGGGGAGAACAGCTGATCGGCGGTTCCAAAATGGCCACCAGAAGGTCCACGCCGCATTTTCGCACCCTGCCCTCGCTTACCGAGGGCGCGAAAATGGCGGCGCTATGGAGGAACATCGCATAACGGTGAGTTTTAAAGCCATAGGAACGCATTGAATGAAGTTCAATGCGTTTCTATGGCTTTTTTATTCCATTTAGCGATGTTTCGCTATAGCGAAGGTTAATCCAGAACAGATTAACCTCGCTATGTGAGGCACCACTGCATTAACATGTTCACATACAGGAATAACCCCCAATGAATCAGTGGGAGTGTGATTAGATGGGCATTTAGCCTGCTGTTTGGAGTGCTGCAGGGGACAGACGGTGTAATTAGACAGGTTCTTTGCTGGAGCAAACTAATCTGCCCCCAGAGTATTCTTACCCTGTCTGGTCCCTGTCAAGGGGCTCCTATTTTTGGGGTGTGGGTATGATCGCTGTACGTTGGTTCAACCTCCAGTGTGTGTGAGATTGCTGGCAAAGGACCTCTTTCAATTTGCCAGTATTGTGCAGTGGCTTCATAAGAGAGCTGCTTCGTGATACAAGCAAATTAAACACTTTCTTGACTCCACGGAAGTGTTCAATTTTCAAAGACAGCACGGGGAGGCTCCCTTAGGAAAACCAAACTCCTCCTGTCCTTGTGTATGTGTGTGTGTGTGTGTGTTGGCTTGGCATTTTAAAAGGGGCAAGTGAAGCAGCAGCATTGAAGTGGGATTTTTGTTTGCTTCTCTCAATTGGCTCTTTGAGAGAAAAGCAAACACACACACACACCTTGTTGCCCCCTCCAGTCTCACTTCTGATAGCCGACTGTGCGTCCTGTCCTGTCAAGTTCGAACTGACTTACAGAGCCCTTAATAGGGCTTTCAAGGTAAGTGAGATACTTAAAGAGTGGTTTTACCAGTTCCACTCTCTCAGTGAGTTTTCATGGCTAAGTGGGGATTTAAACCCTGTTCTCCAGAGTCCTAGTCTGTCACTCTATCCACTACACCACACTGGGAATCCAGTGGTATCCACTGGAAATAGCAGACCAGTGGGGACCAATTAGGGTTGCCTTCATGTCCATATTTCATTTAGATACAAATACAGTGGTGCCCCGGATAGTGACGATAATCCGTTCCGGATTAATCGTCGCTATCCAGAAACACTGCTAAACAGAATGAAAAAAACCCATAGGAACGCATTAAACGTTGTTTAATACGTTCCTATGGGCTCCAAACTCGCCACTATTCGGAAATCCTCCATTGCGCCGCCATTTTTGCCGCCTCGGTAAGCAAGGAATCGGCGCGAAAACATTTGCAGCGGCCGTTTTGGGCACCCGGCAGCCATTTTGGAACCGCCGATCAGCTGTTTCCCGATCATCACAATGCGAAGATCATCGCAATGTGATGTTTAGGCTATTAAAACATCGCAATGCGATCGCATTAGCGATCTAAAAAAATAGATCGCTATGTGGATTCGTCGTTAAACAGTGAGCTCGTTATTCGAGGTACCACTGTATTGCACCATGCCGTACCTCCTAGTGTGACCCTATTTAGCTCAGTCTATCCTTGTTCCAAAAACAGGCATGGAGACAAGCCCTGGGTTTTACATCTGGTAAATACAGTGAACATCAGGCTGTTAACACTACTTGAAATTACCTGCAACTGTTCTTGAGTGGGAACCTCTCACTCCACCCTCAGGCTGCACTGTGCTCCAACGACAGCTAGTGTGGAATTGGTTACTACTTGGGTCCCGTATTTTTCATCCCCCTATGCCCCATTTCCAGTACTTATATGCATTTAAGGGAATAAATATTTGTTGACCCTAGCCATAAGAGCAAAAGTGAAACTCACAGTCAATGCATCTGAAACACCTCCACCCAAACAACTGCAGTTACCTCGGGAAGCCTTGTGAAGATACTCAGTTTGAGCCTCTCATTCTTTTCACTGTTGTCAAGCTCTAGAAGAAGATCCAAGAGAAGAAAAGAAGAAAAACATGCTGACTATGCAGAGGTTGCTTAGGATTCTTGTTCAACTTAATGAACCCCTACTGGCACTAGCTTTGTGAAATTTTTAGCATATTCAGTCCTTAGGCAACCCTAGAAAAATAGACCAGCAAACTACTTCTGAGCACTTTATATCTAGGAAACCCTAGCAAAGGTCACCATAAGTTGGAATTGACTTGCAGGCACATCATTTGTCAATCATTTCCCTTATGCAGGAACACCATACATGCCAAGTTCCATGTTTAAGTTGTTTCTGTAAGTCTATAGCCGGCAAGCTGGTGACAGTAATCTTGACCAATCCTAATGCACAGCATAGATTCCAGGTAACAGCATACACTTTGTTGGACCAAGTGACCAAGGATCTATTGGGTAGTAGAGGCCACACATTTCCCCCTGTGCAGAATCAAGGACAGAAGTGGAAACATCTGCTGAACCAACACAAAAGACTATTCTTCAGCTCAGTTAGATTTTAAATGTTATGGAATTATACTTCAGTGTCATTGCAAGGCAATAATGAGGGAACAAATCCTAATTAGCCCTTCCTGCTGCTGACTCTGACTTCCCTTCCATTGGCCACCATGCTCTATCACTCTTCATCAACACCAGCTATCACCAATGTATAAAATCCTGCCAGCAAAACAAAACAAAAACAAAACAAAACAAAAACAATTTTAAAAACCCTTTTTTCTCTCTCATACATGATATTCCTGGCTTCTGGGAATCTCATGGAGAGCAGATACAACAAGTTGTTTACCTTCTAGACTTATGAGAGGATTATAAAATCTACTAAAGCAACTGACACAAATAGAAATGTTTAGAGTGAAGATTTCCAATCTCATTCATATCGACCAGATAGGCGGGATATAAATAGAATGAATGAATGAATGAATGAATGAATGAACGAACGAACGAACGAACGAACGAACGAACGAACGAACGAACGAACGAACGAACGAACGAACGAACGAACGAACGAACGAACGAACGAACGAACGAACGAACGAACGAACGAACGATCATTCATTCATTCATTCATTCATTCATTCATTCATTCATTCATTCATTCATTCACTCAAATTCTGCCAAAAAGTTGTGCCTTTATTTGGCTGGTGTTCACTCTGTAATTTATAACCCAGTACAATGGCACCAAACTTGTTTGCTGAGATAGGAAAACATAGCTTATGTTTATCGGTAACCCCAATGAAATACTGGTTCAGCCTGAAGGGGTAAGACTAAGAAAGAGCAGCATCGCAAGAAAGAGGGGAGAGCTGAAGAGGCCAGAGCTGCTGTTGCCCCTTGGACTGGTGAGGCCCTTGACACGTTGGTTTAGGGCTCTGAAGAGTTCTCATGTGGAGCTGATTCTTCTAGGTATTAGATACCCAACCCAGTTGAGGAAGCTGTCTTGGATTACTATCTGAATTTGAATTCAAAGGGACACTTTGAGCTTTGCAATTCTACAAGTAACATCTATATTGGTGCTCTTGCCAAGCACTTGGGTGCAGGAATTGTAGCATTTTATTGTTATAATTGCTCATGTTCTCTGTTATACTGTATAACTGTGAATAAGAAAAGACACATTTTGGGAAATTGTTTTTGCAAGGTTCATCAATAGGTATCTAAGTAAGCATATAGCCACACAGAATTCAAATGTGTTACAACCTGAAATAAGTTGTGAAATACGTTTGTTATCATAGCACTTCTATGCAACTTGCACAAATACATGACTGGAACTTGAAGGATGAAAAAGGCATTTGAAAACTAGCACATGCAGTCAGGAATTCCAGTAATCACCATCAAATTTATCTAGAGATTTTCCCTTCCTTTTTTTATCTTCCTTCATGGAAATTAACTGGCTTTTACTTTCCAGGCAGAAGAAACATGTTAAGCAAGAATATTTTAATATTTCAGAAACACGTGCAAGCAGGTATGCCTTCTTTCAGACTAAATGTTCTGCTACTCCTGTAATGAATGGAAATCCTCTGCTGCTGGCTTCTGCCATATTCTGAAACTATATATTGTACGCAAAGTGTGATCCTTGCTGAAGTCACTTCCCCACAGAAGAAGGTGATTTATTTCCGAATTACAATTGTCACACAGATACACATTCAGAGGTGCTCCTTGTCTGGTGTGCAAAATCCAGCTTACCTTTCAAAAGTCCCATAACATACTTTTCTGTTAAAAGCAGCACTCCATGATCAATGTAATGCAAGAGTGTGTGCAAAGGGAGACACTGCCCTCCCAGCACCATATGCAAGGTATGAAACCCTGGATGGAAAGAGACAGAGAGAGAGATAGAGAGAGAGAGAGGTAATGGCATGAACGCACACGCTATTCTGTAGCAAAAACACTTGAAGAGAATTTAGTAATGATTAGTTGCAAGTATGATTTCTATGAAGTCATTCCTAAAGGCCACCACAAACTGTGGAATTTCTGAAGAGGAAATGGCCACTGTTTAGGATTCTGACACTACAGCACAAATCTATGGGAAGCATTTCAAAACATAACACCAGCCTATTTCAATATGTAAAACAAATAACGGCTCTTCCAGATGCAGCATTTGCTTCACATTAAAGACTAGGTTTTGCACTCGTCTTGTAGGGAATTGCCCCAATATTCAGCTTCCATTCTACCTCCTTGGTTTTGACTCAATTCATTTTTTCCCTGAGTTCCTGTACCCCATTTTCCCCTCCCCAAACCCTGCATTTATTTATTTTTGTAGTAGTTTGTATTTGGGGGTGGAGGTACTTCTGTGACATTTCACTGGTGATGTACTGTGAAAAGCTGAAACTAAAAGTCAAGGAAGCACACAGCGGCAGCATTTTTTCACACAGAAATCTGTCTTCCAGATTCCAGGATCAATGAAAGTTTTCTCTGTTGTCCCTTTCTCTTTCCTCCTAAAATTTTGGGGCTCATTTTCTTTCACTCAAGTCCCAGTGCTAGGTCCGGCCAGGCAGACAGAGCCCTTGTAGAAATTAATCATAAACAGTGAAACAATCAACTCTGTTAAGAGGTAGCATTAAATACTACTCTTTGCACATTAAAAAAAACACCTTTCTAGTAAACCTACATGTCATCTGTTATTACAGATCACCAAGAACTGCTGTAACAGATTCAAGAATTTCATGTTTCTGGTCAGATCCAAGCAAGCCTCTTTACCCAAAATGTGGTTATGTAACCACTCATCATGGCCTCATAACTGACTGAATGATTAGCCAAGTTCTCTTGTGAGAACATTCTTAATTGGATTAAAAGTCAGGCTGAATCTATTCAGTCTCATTACAAGCCCCTTGCCGTTTTGGCAAGTGGAGGAGCAACATGGGATATGTGTTGGTGTCAAGAAGTTTCTCCAAAGTTTCTTCTTAGACAAAACTGCTACTGCTAATCATATAATCAACATCACATGACTGTCCTTGAGATGGGTTATAAATTCCAAACTACTAGCTGAGGAGTGGCTTGAAGCCACCCCTTTTCCTCCATGGGCCTTTTACAGACTGCACTCATTTCCAACTAAGAAGCTGGCGTGGCCTCAACATGAGCAATGTGGCTTTGAGGCATTAATAATAGCATATAATTTTGGAGATACCCACAAGTACTTGATGCACAGCCTTGAAGAAGATGATTTATTATTGAAAGCTCACTGTTTCTTTTTTGTTTTTTATATTCTTAATGGCCGATTAAAGGCACCACCTGTTCCTGCATTTGTATCACAAGAACTCCTTTCATGGATGGAGCCCCTCCCCAAATCTCACTACGGTCCAGAAAGCATTTGCTCAGAAAAATAGTAGTCAAGAGGCTTAAGTAACCAAAACAGGCTTTCAAGAGAGAAATATCTAGAACTCTAAAAGTATCTGAATGTCAAATGTTAACATAAAATGAAGTCATAATAGAGTTTGCCATTAGGCAAAGGTCATGAAAACCAGTCTTGGGGGTGGGGTTCTTTTCAACATGAGGTACAGCAAGGGATACACACATGAGGTACACACTCATGTCCAGAGTGTGGACCCTTTGGTGAATACTCACCACCTTCATTTTATGTAATACATTTGTATTTCCCACTCCTTCCATGAAGGAGCCTAAGGCCATTATAGATGGGGTTTCTGCTCTTTCAACAACCCCGAGAGAGGTTTGGTCAAAAACTGATTTAGGGTCACCATAGCCGAGAGCATGAAACTGATCAATCTGCTGTCTTTCCAGTCCCAACCTCAAACTCTAACAGTTGAATGACACAGACTCTGGCTAAGGGTCAGATCATGCTATGGCAAGTACATGCTTCCTTCTCTTACTTATTATTTATTAAAATTATAACCCCCGTCTAGTGGCAAACCACTACTCTGGGCAGCTACAAAAGAATTAAAGGTACAAAAGACAGAAATTAAAAACAATAAACAAGAGGGAGGAAACCAACCCACATAAAACCCCAACTATCTGTCATACACTACATAACTCTCAAGGTAGTGGAAATAAGAGCAACAATGAGCAGTAAACAATACAAATAGGGCTATCACAGAATAACCTGATAATTAGATTAAAAATGAGTAAGGCTCTCAAAGGTCTAGGTAAAAAGCCAAGTTTTAATATGCTTCCTAAAGCCAAGGAGGGTGGGGGCCCTAACGCACCGGAGGGGAGTTCCACAGCAAGGCGACCACTACTGAGAAGGCCCAGTTCCTAGCTGCAGCTTCCAAACCACCTTCAAGGGCAGGCCCAGACAGAGAGGATTGCAATAGCCAATCTTCAAGCTTACCAATGCATGAACAAGTGTTCTTAGAAACTTTCTGTTGAGGTAAGGGCAGAGGTGTGCAATCTTTCTGAGATGGAAAAAAGGCAGATCTGGCTACAGCTGAGATCTTCATCAAGAGAGCCTGTTCCAGAAGTACACTGAAATTATGAAGCTGATCCTCTAAAGGGGAGTGTGACTCCATCAAGACCAGGCAACATACCCCCTAACTGATCAGGGTGCCCTCCTAACAACACGATGTCTGTCTTGTCAGGATTCAACTTCAGACCATTAGCCCTCATCCGGCCCATAACTGCAACATCATCTCTCAATTCCTTCAGAGCTACCTGCCTGAGAAACCTGGCATGGAAACAAAAAACATATTTATATCCCAATTATCTGTTACAAAATAAAAGCAGATGCCTACCTGGAGGGAGAGGCATACACATTTCCTTTGCAGACTGTAGAACCTGACACATGACACGGAACACAGCAAGCTCATCTGAATTTCCTGGCTGTCTCCTGCATTAAAAAAAAAAAAAAAAACAGAATGAAACAGCGGAACAGTACAACCGTAAACATGCGTGCATGCAATGTATGTATGTATGTATGTATGTATGTATGTATGTATGTATGTATGTATGTATGTATGTATGTATGTATGTATGTATGTATGTATGTATGTATGTATGTATGTATTATGTATGTATGTATGTATGTATGTATGTATGTATGTATGTATGTATGTACGGTACGTACGTATTTTTACATCCTGCCTTTCTGGATCCAAGGCAGATCATAACATGAACTGAAATACTGATGAACACATTTTTATAAAAATTTAAAAACTATTACAGCAATCATATGAAAAACAAGTACTGTGTTAAAACTGTTTCAACCCACACTGCACACATTCTCAAGCTGCATTTCAGGACCCCAACATATTTAATTTCTGCTACACAGTGACCACAGTCTTACTGGTGTTCTTCTAAGGTTTGTGTAACTTGTCGTGGCTAATTGACACGGTGCTGGGGAGCATCTTGCTTGTGCATGTGACGAAGATGTAGTTTGGCACCTTGTCAATTAGTCACACAAGCCTTATGCAAACATCAATGGGATTTTGGCTGGTCTCTCACAGATCTACCTACCACCCAAGTGGGGAAAGTTGGAATGGCTTTGTCATTAAAGAGCAAAAGTCTGCTGGATATGGCATGGTGATGCTGTTGTAAATAAAAATGGGGGGAGGACAAACTATTGGACCAGAGGAGGACAGTTAAGCTACACATTATAGACTCTCCACCACCTTCACAGGATGTTAAGATGTGCAGCAGGGTGGTACAAGTCAGCAACATCACCAAGCATCTCACAGAGATGGAATAAGGGAAGGACTAAAGAGATTTTTTACTGCCAAAAAGACAAACTTAGTTTTTCCTTTGAGAGATTTGCTTTCATGTTTCTAAGCTAAATAAGCTAAAAACAAGTCATAAGAGATGGATAAATCTTTCAGTTTTGGTTCTTCTCTTCTTCAAATCCATAGTCTGGTTTTATTTCCATTGTTTTTACAAACTTTGAAAGTTCTCCAAAGTATGAATTTGGATAACATCCTTTTTTTAAAAGGTTTCTATTAATATTCAAACACATCTTTTGCAGAGTTCTCCTAAGCTACTGTTTTTTGTACACACTTCACCCCTTTATGTAAATATATTGGCAAGCCAACTCTCCTCATACATCATAGTTTTGAATTTCAGGAGGGCAGCTGTGTTAGCTCATTGCAGCAAAAGCAGGAGATAATTCTATGGAACCACGAAGACTAACAACTGCTATTTGACCTTGCTTTCCACAGATTCCAACTTACTGTTTCAAATAGTGTCAGGAATATGATGCAATTGATGAAGTGGCCACATATCACAAGGGTAAATAACAAATAAAAATTGCTCTTCAAGATGGCACAACTCTTTTGGATCCTTAACATTAGTTTCAATAGCAAGCACTTTTGTGCAGTTTTGTTAATATGCACATAATGCCTAAAAAGCCATGAAGTACACCTGCCAATGAAACACAATTGGTCTAAATTTGGTTGGTGAATCACTGTAAGTTTAGAAGTTGGCACAGGCATTTGTTGTTGTGCACTTAAGTCAATGCACAACAGCAAATGTTGACACAAATTTCTAAACTTGCAGCAATTAGCCAATGAGATTTATACCAGTTGTGTTAACACAGATTTTAAAAACTCAGTAGGACAATCAGCATATTCCTTTTCTTTAAAAATGCAGTTTCACACGTGTGTTCTGAAGTCACACAGCATTAGGATGCAACTGTTACGTTACACTTTTAACCTGCTCAACACCTCAGTTACGTTGTCCACATTAAGGGGGAAAATACCTGACTGTGAATATTGACTTTAAACAAAGAGTCAACCATTGTGTTTTGTCTTTAAGCTTATTAATGATAGAGAAACCCCCCTAGAATTTATGAAATGTGTTAGTTCTGGGCACAGAATTGCCTTATCATACCAAGCTGTTGCTCTTGCCATAATGTTACTGTGTACTTTGATAATACTCAAAACATGAAGCAGAAATATGACTAGAAGAAAAAGTGGCCAGGATTTGTTTTTAATTAGATGGCATATTTTATTATATGCTTAGCAATTAACAGAATTCTCCAGGTAGTGTAAAATATATTGTCTCCATATGGGGTACACTGATAATACTACCAAATCTAAATGATTGAAACCATTTTGGGATCTGGATTACTGGAAGGCAGCACTGCACAAAGCTTTCATTGTAATGATGCATTTATACGCATCTCTCTTCTTGCGTTATGAGCAACTCTGAACATATCTGTAAGAACTGGCAAAGAAATAAAAATATTAGCCTTATTAAGTAATACTAATAAAGTGATAATATATATACTTTTGTTTTTCCTGCCCCATAAATGGGATCTATAGGAGCGAGGCACATGGACAGGTCTGACGGGATTTCTTTGAAGTTTGAATGGCAGATCTCTCTATGCCATAGCAGTAACTGCTTCAAAAGGTTCTATAAAGTTCAAAGGAAGACGACCATGGGGCATGCACAAAAGCAGTTGTGCAGTTCTTCAGCCCCTGGCCATTTTGTTTTATGACATCAGCAAAATGTTAAATAATACTCCCTAACCTGAAATGTATTTTGGGAACAACAGATTCTTCCCTAAAATCTAATGGCACTATTGCAGCTATTCCAATAATACATGTTACTGAGTTTCAAAAGCAGAGCACTATGTAGTTTGGAGGGTGTTGAGTATAAGCAACATATTTACTCTGTCTAGATTATAGATAACAAAAACATTAAGCATATATTTAAGTGTGCAAAAACACGATCAGTTTTTTAATTATTTAACAATTCTACCAATGTGTGGGGCCATAAAATTATGAAACCATTCCACCAGATACAAAACAAAATAATTCCTTTGTGTTAACTACCATCCCTTTGAGTTAAACTGAACAAGGCTTAATAGAAAATGACGGCTTACAGTGAGGCAGCCCCAGAATTAAGATTATATTTCTTCCAAACGTTTTCCAGAATCCGGCATATGAGATTCAACTAGAAATGAAGAAGAGGGAAAAGGGCATTTGAATTCTTATATGAAAGTGTGTCATACAAACATCAACAATATACACTTTCTGGGCAACAAATATATACTAAACTTTGGGGGACATAATTTTGAGTGAACATAGGTTGCTCTCAGTGGCAGCAATTTTATGGACATTTCCACTCAATTCAATAGGGCTTACTATAAAGCAATATACTTGTAACTCACTTGTAAACACAGATAGGACTGAACATGTTCATAATGTGCATTCACAAACAAGCTCCTTTATTTATATAAACTGAATTTTCCATTGTGTTATTATGTGAGACAATTTTTGAGTAGATTTATATCACAGTCTTGATGTTTTAGTCACTTAAGCTTGGTTAAATGGGGACAGGATTGGATAAAAAGCACCTTGCTTCACTAAAAAATAAGATGCACCTTTGTTTAAATACTAATGCTCTGTAAAGTAGTGTGGATAATTGGCAAAGAAATCCACTGGCATCATAACAATATAATTGTGTGCCGTCAAGTTAATTTGGACTTATGGTGGCCCTTTCCAGGGTTTTCTAGGTAGAGAATTCACTGAAGTGGTTTACCTTTCCCCTCTTCTGGGGTCACCAACTTGCCCAAGGCCACCCAGGCTGGCTCTTCTGAGATGCACAGTGGGGAATTGAACTCCCAAATTCTGGCTCTGCAGCCAGATACCTAACTCACTGAACTTTCCAGCCAGTCACTGGTATCATAGGTGCAAGGAAAGCTGAACAAATGCTCAGTATTGGATGAGCTCATAGTGATGAAGAATCAAAATGATGAACTGGAAGGATGGGTCCAAAGGGCTGTTTGCACAGCAGGAAGTGTTTTGGGGATCACCCAAACTTCTGCTCATCCCTTGACTTTAGCCGTGTTCCTTGCCCTACATCCTACACTGTTTCCAAGTGTCTCCTAACCCTCTGGAACTGCTTTTTAAAGAATCCAAGGTGAGGACAGAGGCTCTCTTTTTTATTTAATTGTTTTCATTGGGAGGAGCTCTTGAAGGCCACTCAGAGTGTGGATCTGATTTACTAACTATTATTAGCTCAGAGCTCCAGGGATCCAGAAGAGCTGCAGAAGCTCTTTTGCTACCACCTATTGATTGGCAACTATATCGCAACACCACCCAATAAGGCAGTGCATTGCTCAGCAACGATTTCAAAAACAAACCAATTTTGAAACATAATCCACAGCTATGTGTTCAATCTTCTTTCTGCCAAAATACTGCACATGCCTCATGAGATGATCTTTCAACTGTGCAACCATCTGTAAAAAAATAAGCAGATTTCTAACGTTAATGACAAGAGGCATGCACATGCCCTAAACAATTAAGTTAAGAGATATTAAAACAAATTATATACATGCCTTCACTGAAAGAACCAAATTAACAGCTGAATATTGCCTATCACTACAAATAATTGATAATTTACTCTTTACTAGCACAATCCTACATATGTTTTGTCCAGATAAAAATTTCCAGAAAAAAATCCTGCCAACACATACCAGTCCTGTTAGCAATTGCTGCTGATAATCCTCATCTTGCAAAAGAGAAACTAGCCCTTCTTCTGAAATGAAAGGAGAGGAAAATATTGTGCCGAGTTTATCTGTGCTATTCAGTCAGAGACCTTTTGGAAATAGGGCCCACATTATCTCACTGTAGAAAGAGACCAGAACTTTAACTGTGCTTTGACTACTAGAGACAAGAAAGAAGCGATCAGAAGTTTTATTTATATAATGGTATTTAACCCAAGTACACGATAGCACCAAACATTTCAAAAATATCTAAAAGAGAATGTTCTGAAGCAGAACAAAATCTAGTATCCTTGCTTTAAAAAAATAAGAAATCACAGGCTTTGAAAAAAGTTGAGAGACAATGTCATTGTATTTTAACCACCACAAATGCTATGGCGTAGTGAGTGTAACCCATTTCCTTCATCTGTAGGATCCATTTGACAGTGTTTTCATCCAGCTTCCTCAAAATGGGTAGTACCTTGTAGTTCTGAGAGAGGAACTGCACTTGCTTCTGCTTCTCAAGATGACACCCGTGATCAGTATCTAGGATAAACCTGACATCCTTAATTCAGGAGTCATGCCTCTCCCCTAGCAATCCCAGATAAAATAATAAAGTTGTGCCCAGCTGTGCAAGAAGACACCAGCCGAGAGCTGCTTTCCCCTCAAATTTTAGAAAACCAACAACATTTTCTGACAAAGCTGTTCTATAAACAGGCCTATAGCATGCAGTAAAATCCTGCCAACCACCAGAGGCCCTTTAGAGCCAAAAGGCCCAGGGAGCCCAGGGAACAATACAAAGTCCTTCTTGTTCTGAAGCTGACATTTGTAATTCACAGCATGCACAGAATCCTTGAAGGGGACAACAAATGATTACACTGTAGGATGGCTTCTGTTTAATATTGGCTCACTTGAGCATAATAAGAACTGCAGCCCATGTTTTGCATCATCAATTTTAACTGAGATTAATTTACAGATAATTTGAAATAAAACTATATAATATCAACTCATTCTTTTGTGGCCACTGGGGTACTGAACTCTCTAGTACTGATTTTTTTTAATGATAGGATCCTGAATAGACTAAATTTACCTATCTATCTATCTATCTATCTATCTATCTATCTATCTATCTATCTATCTATCTATCTATCTATCTATCTATCTATATTTATTTATTTATTTATTTATTTATTTATTTATTACACTTACCTAATCTGTTTATTTCCATATATAAATCCCACTTTTCTCCCAATACACAAGGAGGCTTACAAAACGGTTTAAAAAACTGATACAGATAAAAAAGGTGAATGTAATAAATTCTTATTAAATGTAATTTTGGCATTAAAACAATCACAGACTTTAAAAAAAGTTAAAAGCACATCAGAAGAGAAGCAGAAGCAGGTGCAGTTCCTCTCTCAGAACTACAAGGTACTACCCATTTTGAGGAAGCTGGATGAAAACACTGTCAAATGGATCCTACAGATGAAGGAAATGGGTTACACTCACTACGCCATAGCATTTGTGGTGGTTAAAATACAATGACATTGTCTCTCAACTTTTTTCAAAGCCTGTGATTTCTTGTGACATCAGAAAAAAGTAAAAGATATAGCCTTCCCCTCCCTGACAATTAAAAATGTCTTCCTCAAAAACACTTTCAGTTGCCCAAAGCCTACTTAAAGAGGAAGGTTTTAGCGGCTGGTGAAAGAGCAATGAGGAGGGCAGCCCAGCCTCTCTTGGCAAGCAGTTTCACATCCTCAGAGCAGCCACCAAAAAGCTCCTCTCTCATGTCCTCACCAGATGTGCCCGTGTGGCAGTGGGAACAACAGCATGGCCTCCTGGAAGATTTTTAAAGACAGGCAGGCTCCTAAAGTAAGATGCGGTCATTCAGTGAGCATGAATCACAACCGTATAGGGCTTTGTGTCCAGAAACAAACCAGTAGCCAGTCAAGCTGTTGTTCTGTTCTCTGTGTAGTTAGCACCAGTCAGCAGTGTAGTTGTAACCATTTTGGAGTGAGTGACATCTTCAAACACTATCCAGAGGCAGGCCCATGTAGACTGCGTTACAGTGATCTAAAGAGGACTGATCTAAAATATGTGTCAATGTAGCCAGATCCAACATCTCTAGGATTGGATGTGTCATCCTTAAATGTAATTATGTATTCCAGCAACTAGAAATCCTGTCAGCGCTAGGATTGTTTTGCCTCAAATATCAACATTAATACTTTATTGCTTCATAGCCAATCAGGCTTTATGGATAAACAGAGATTAGTCTTAAAAATAGTATTTGACATCTGATATAAGTACATATAAATAATTAGAAAACATAAAATAACAATAATAATATAGGTGCAATTTTATTTTGTTGTTTACTATCTTTTGCCAATACTATTCTGAACAAAAATAAAGCAAACATGTTCACTTGTTTCCCAAGGCAGTCTCTTCAATCATCCTACATAAAGAGCAGCATTTCTGTGTTTTACTTTGAAAGCCACATGCTTGCTATATACACTCCATCTACCACACATTTCTTTTTCAACAATCCTATATGATTCATGCTATGTCTGAAATGTCAACCTACAGTGATTAATGGCAAAGGATTTCAATATCAATTTTTAAAAAATACTATTTGTGGCCACTCAGCATTAGTATATGCTTGACATACCTGTTTTCCATGTATTTAAGCTGGAAAGCACCCTAACACAAAACAAACAAACAAACAAATGTTTCTGAGGTGGTTCAAAAGGAATTTTGTTTAAATACATGATACAGAAAACTAAACCAGCAGCAACATCTGATTAATTTTTTGTAACTGAAAACAACAGAAACTGAAAACCTGGCTAGCAGAAATTAATAGGAAATGTCTTATCTCTCACAGTGAGGATCTTATCCAAAAGTTGATTTCTAAGAGCAGTGAATTATCTAGGCATCTACAGATTAATTTCAAAACACACTGAAAACTGTCAGATATCCGAACTTTTGGTTGTCTTTCATTTAATCAAAACTAGTACAGTAAGTTAATCATTATTAGAAGCCGTGGATGCTTAAATTGGAAGACAGGTAGGTTATGCATAAAATAAATAAGTAAGCCAGCCTACCTTTTTGCATTTTCAAATACACTTTTCATATATGTTGTTCCCTCTTCCATTTTCTAAAGCAAAGTATAAAGTATTTGATTTGAGAATGTTGTGAGATGCAGTTACCTTTATTCTATTGACATGTAACAAAACCCTCAACTCTTTAACAGTTTAATAAAGTTCTTCTCCCAGCAAGAGTTCTAGAAGATTCTGCCTCATTGCTGAGGCACACAGTCAGAGAATACCAGACATGCCTGAAAGGAAAGGGGTGTCCTCTTGAGAACACATCAGGGCCCAGCTCATGACTCTACATGAGCCTCCTCATTTCCCTTCCCTCTTCTTATCTAAATGGTAGTCTCAGAACCAGATGGGCTTGATTTCTTCTTGCTTTTGTTAACAAATAATCATACTTAGAAGAAGTCACCGTTCCACAAGTGCAGGTGTAAGAGGAAACTGTGGCTAGTTTAGAAGGTGATGTTCTGATGTCCTTCTAACATCAAGCCAAGCAACAGGCTGAGAAGCAGGAGTACCTGAGGTTCATGTAGACATAGTCACATGTAAGGAAACCATAGTTTATTATTAGAGCTGAGCTGACCCTTCCACTGACCGAAAAGCTAGATTAAAAAAATTGTGTCATTCAGTCTAGGCCAGTGGTTCCTAACCTTGGGTCCGCAGATGTTCTTGGACTACAACTCCCAGAAATCCTGACCAGCACAGATAGTGGTGAAGGCTTCTGGGAGTTTTAGCACAACACCTGGGGACCCAAGGTTGGGAACCACTGGTCTAGACTGAAATTAAAAGTAGTACTAAAATAGAATTACTAATCTCAAAATAAACAATTTCTGAATGAGGGTTTTCAATTATTAGTTGATATGTAAATCCAGATCAAGCTTATGCTACTGCTTTATCCTTTTTGCTCCAGGAGATAAGCTTTTCCACCCACATTTAACCAGCATATCAATTAAAACTGTGAGTCATGCTGTCAAGTTTTCATTTTCAGATGAAAGAGAAAGGGAAAACTGGGGGAAATGCATCATTCCTTTATATGGGAACAATACATTTCTTCAATATGGGGTCTAATTATTACAACAGCATTGCACGTCGACATAATGCACTGTGATGAAGACTGTTTCTGAAAACTCCCTGAGGAAATCAAATACTTCAACACTCACTCCTTATAACAATTCAGTTACAAAAGGTAAACACAGCGTAATATAAAACATATTTTGATTCCTGGGACTTCCAGTAATAGGTTTATGGAAATAGTTCTATGCGATCTGATCAAACTGCAAATGCATCAATATATTTAAGAACACAGGATTAATTTCATAGATTCAGTTACCTCATCTGAAAGCAGCTTATGCCATTCCCTCTTAAGAACCTTGTAGTTGAAATGCAAGTGTGGCTCAGCGTACTTCACACATTCCAGGCTCAGATTTAGTTTTTCCCAGAAGCCTTTGCAATTTTGTACCTCAAATGAATGAGAGAGAGGTTTCCTCATTTTTATGCTAATTATTTCTTCCTATTGCAAAAGTTATGCAAAGCAAGGTTAGGACAAGGGCAGAGTCTGTGGTTCAAAGCAAATCATACGTATATTAAGTTTTGTTTTGAGGTGCTCTCCTAAGTAGTGAAAATTGTTTGGCATTGCACATGCTTTTCTTCACCTACATAACTTGTATTTAGCATGCTTTGTTTTATGACTCATAATTAGGAAGCGAACACAGCTCAGTTTGCAAGTCTGATTGCTAAAGCACATTTTTCTGAGGAAATTCTTAAAAGGGTTTGAACATTAATTACAGAGAATAGCTGCACCTCTTAGGTATCTACTTTGACCCTAGGACTAGATCAGGGGTCTCCAAACTTTTCAACCTGAGGACCACATATTATTATTATTTTTCACATTTTTCAAGGGCTGAAGGAACACATGTGCGCACGCACGCATGGGTTGAAGGGAACGGACCTAAGCCTGTGGACCTGAGCCTGTGACATTCACTAGGCTGGATAAAAAAGCAAAGTGGGCAGGATGTGGCCCGCGGGCCATAGTTTGGAGACCCCTGGACTAGGGGCAAATTCTCTATTCAACAGCTAACCACTGAACTTTTTCTCTCCCCCTACATCCTTCTGTGTTGTGCCCTCTATTTCAGATTGTAAACCTGAATAGAGATACTGTTTTATAACATACACTGCAGATTGGTCTGGAAGCCTCTTTTTCATCTTCAGGGCAGAGGTATAAATACAAATAAACAAACAAGCAATAAAGTCACCTAAATAGGACTTTTCACTGCCCAAGCCTGAGGATTTAGTTTGGTATCAAAAATCACAAGTCCCAAAAGTGATAAATGAAGTATATACAATATCCATTTTTTCTCTGTGATACAGAAACCCAAGAGCAGCCTGATCTGAAGTCTATCACATGCCACCTGAGATAAAAGCAGCAATTTCATCATTGATATAAGTTTTTGACCGTGAACTTGCTTGACAACTTAATTAGCGCAAATTGAATGTTTGGACCACTAAAAAATTGGACCACTAAAAAATCACATCAAGATGCCCCGCATGCACCTTCACTGAAATGTTAACCTTCACCAGATATCTATAAACCTGGAATATTAAAGGGGGAAACCAACATGGATTTCACGAGCCATAATCCCAAATTCCTGCTTTGTCCTGCTTAGAAATTGTCCATATAAAATCTATGGCACTTTGGCTTTCAGGTTGTTCAGATGTTCATTCCTCGGTGAGGTAAAATTGTGAACAGTAAAATCATTACTAACTTTAAATGCTCAAATCATTTCCTATATATTTGTTTACAAAATCCTATGTTTCACATCAAGTCTGTTCTTTGATAGAATTTTTGAGAAAGAAAATGGAACAGTTCTGCCCTCTAGGGGCAACTTTATGAAACACTGAGGACACTAACTAGTTCTTTTCTCCCCCCCCCCTCCTTTTCTTACCCTCTTCAATTTTATTTGGCTTGGTTTGGCTCATTGTAGCTTGTTGGTTGCAATTTATTTTTGGGAATGGGATGGATAAACTGTGGTTTCACTTAGGATCAAACTTGACTAGGGTGGTGAACGTTCCTAACTGAGCCATGATGACAATTTCTAATTGTGATTTGAAATTAAACTATGACTAGTGTAAAACTACAGAGGGCAGGAATCAGCAGAAGGAAAAATAGGGTGGTTAAGCTATGTACATCTGTTATACTTCAGCTATTTCAAAGATGCAATATGGAATCACAAAACAGTTTTAAAAAAGGTAAAAGTTCATGTTTAGTTAAGGAAGGAAGGAAGGAAGGAACAGTAGTATAAGCAATATGTGAAGAAAAGAATTTTAGTATGTATTAGTACATATTTAATATCTTGCTTTAATCCTGCTTGCAGACAAAGTAAAAGGCATCTTTATTTTCCTTTTATAAATACACTACAAACACGCCATTTACCATCCTGATAGCAACAATGGTTGATGGAGACTTACCTTTAAAACAGGTAATGAGATAATGTTTGTTTTGCATATAATCCCAGGTATGTGCTGCAAAGAGGAGATGGTGCATAAGATATATTAATACAAAATAAGTATGTTGGAGCTGTTGTTCCTCCTGGCAACTAACTTTGATTTTAACCTGGGCAACAGTCAGCACAGAAGAAGGTGAATACTATTCTCATCATCTATATCCTCTTTTGCAAAAACAGATATACCAGTATTTATATACCAAAAGTTCTTCTTTTTATGTGATGTAAAAATGAGTATCCAGTGACCAGTGTGGACAGAGTGTCATCCTTGGTTCTGGGAGGACCTGTGTTGAAATCCCTGCTATGCCATGGAAAACCATGAGGGTTAGGGCACTAGTAAAATATATATTTTACTTGTCTTGAGAACCCTGTTAGGTTCCCTATAAACTGGTACTGATTTGACAGCACACAACACACAAAACATATATGGCTATATTCACATAGCAACATTAAAGCTGGGATAGTGGTGGTCATGGACTCTGTTTTCCGTTATAATGAAAACCTAGTTTGCGGCTTGTTTATTAACAAAAATACTTCTTCAGTTTTAAATACCTTCTTACCTCATTCCAGTACAGCAGTGATGTGTATGGTAAAAGCTTATCCAGATTGGCGGCCTCCAGACACATTGTCCAGTATAAAGAAGCTGAGTGTATAAATACAGAACGTTTAGTGAACATTTTTAAATAAATGAGATAAAACTGTATAATTTCATACTCTCACTAATTCCAAACTTTATTTGTCTGTGATTATGGGTCCCTTAGCACTAGTCTCAGGACGTTCTTACAGCTCAGAGAGGAGAAGAAAAGGCAAAGGAATAATCAGAAATACAGTAGTGTCAAAAATACCAGCCTAGTTGTTATCGTGACCGAGATATGGGCTTCCAAACTTCTTTGTAAAACACAGAACTTAAGGTATATAAAAACCCTCTATGAAATTAAAGGAAGCTATTGGGTCTTTAACTATGAAAAGTTTGAACAGTGAAGAAGCCGCACCGTATACAGATACTGTACTATAAGAAACAGTGTTACTAACTGCATATATGTCTTCAAATGCTCTTACTGTCTTAAACATTCTAAACATTCATCAGTGTAATGTGATTTCACAAAATAATTTTGATTTCTAGTGGCCAGCATCCTACTGCCATAAATTCAATCTGAGGGGATAACGGTCCTTAGTTAAGAAACTATTGTTTGTGTTTCCTGTCAGACATTAGTCATGTGACTGAGCATCTCAACAGAAATTTAAATGCTGATTCATAACTAGTGGCAATTTACTAATGAAATTTACCCTGATGAACACAATGCCTGCATAACTGTTCAACTGCCCATGTTTTATTATTTGTTACATTGCACAACTATAATAGTTTTGTGTTTTATAGCATTTGGGTCTTGGGCTAAATGTTACTCTCAACTAGAGTGCACTCACTGAATCAATGGGCTTCCGTAAATGTTGATTTAATAAAGTCCCAAAAGTTCAATGGGTCTGCTCTACCTGAGATAAACAAGAAGAGTCTGTGAAAGGACTGCTAATCCAGAGTGTTAGTCTTCATGATGTAACAGATGTGCTGGCTAAGAAGGAATAATGGTAACGCCTAAAGAAGCAAGACAGAACCTCCAGCTTATTTCTGTTCACATATCTCAGAAGCTAACAAATCAGCTTCAGTTCATCTTTCAATAAGCGCCTCAATTAATTAATTAATTAATTAATTAATTAATTAATTAATTGACTGATTAAATTTTTATCTTGACTTTTTCCTTTAAAAGCATCCAACATGGCTAATGAATTAATTACATCCTATACGAGTACCAACTGTACTAACATTGCTGAACTTACAGGTAAAGAATAGCAGTATTAAAAACTCCAAAATCATGGTGCTTTCTTACATCTACTCTGATATAGCCCTATAATACCTACCAATGATAAATTCTTGCATCGGGTCAAATGTAAAACATGTTGGTGCATTCTCTGATATCCATTGGATTATCTGTTAAAATAGGAAAACAAAATGAGATGTGAGTTTTAAAAATTCACATTTAAAGTATTAGCTATTAAGGCCTGCAGAAAAAATTGGAATTTAGGGAAAAACTAAATCCGTGCTAACTATTTCCGAGCAAACAGAAAGAACCAGGAAAAGGCTGTGTGGTCCCCACAACTTCATAAATGTAAGAGTGGGTGATACCTTTTATTGGACCATAAAAGTCAAATAAATTGTAAGCTTTCATGGGAAAAATTCAACTTCTTCAGGCTTAGAACAACCCCTTCATGGATAGTGCAGAAAAAATTGTAGACAAGATTCCAAAAATTGGTGATACATGTCTGTGAGTGTCAATGTCAGTCCTCTTGAGGCTGCAGTCTCAAGATACTTTGAAGCGTGGTTTGGAATTTTTAAAGCCTTTTCTTAGCACCAAAGGTTGCCCAATTACTCCGTAACTGCGCACAGGCACTACAAACATTTTTTTTTGTTCTTGCAATCCCAGAAGGCTAGTAGTCATTGTGACTAGACTTTAAGGCCCAATACATGTGAATAATTCTGTTTTCCTCTTTCTCCTTCCACCCATCTGGGTGAGCTCCACTGTATTTGAATGCCTTGGATGCAACTAGTCAAGGAACACACAGAAACCATGGAATACAGTGGTGCCTTGCATTACAATTGCTTCGTTTAACAACGAAATCACATTAGGATGAACTTTTTGCAATCGCTTTTGCGATCGCAAAACAATGTTTCCTATGGGGGAATTTCGCTTTGCGATGATCGGTTCCCTGCTTTGGGAACTGATTCTTTGCAAAACGACGATTTTCCAACAGCTGATCGGCGGTTTCAAAATGGCCATCAGGTAAATAAAATGGCTCCCCGCTGTGTTTAGGAACGGATTCCTCGCAAGACAGGCAGCGAAAATGACTGCCCTATGGAGAAGCTTCGCTGGACGGTGAGTTTTAAGCCCATCGAACACATTAAACAGGGTTTAATGCGTTTCTATGGGCTTTTTAATTTCACTTTATGATGTTTTCGTTCTACAGCGATTTCGCTGGAACAAATTAACATCGTAATGTGAGGCACTACTGTAGTTTCTTGTATTCCAAACTATAGCTATCCCTTTGTGTTACCCAAAGGCTGGGGAATCTCTTGCCCTTAAAATGTTGTTGGATTCTAATTACCACGAGTCCTTTGATTACCATCAATTCACAGACTCCCCTGTTTTAATCTGTACTAACAAAGCTTAATGGATTAATTAATTATGTACTATCAAATTGATTCTGACTTCCAGCAATGCTTCGCAGGGTTGTCTAGATGTAGAATACTTCGAAGTGGTTTACCGTTCCCTTTTCCTGCTTAAGACCTATGCAGCTTACCTGAGACTACACAGGCGGGCTCAGAACCATGGTTTTAAAAACACTACATTAAAATATTGTATAAAAAGAGTAAAATTCCAAATCTCATCTTTAGTCAGATTTCATCTTACCTTCTTTAATGTTCAGAATAAACTGGAAGCAATTTGCTTAACAAAGGAACTATGTTTTTGTCTTTTACATGCAAGTGGAAGCAAACTCAAGTTTTATTTTGCTTCTAGAAAGGAAAATTTCTCACACCTGGGTTTCCAACTCCACTGTGATTCCAACATGTAGAAGCAGACAGTGCAGGGCTGCCAGCCTGTCGCGATCGGCTCTGCTGGTGCACAGAAACTGCAACAAGGCTTGCTTGTTTATTGCCATGGAGAACATTCTTCCTGTGCCACGATCCAAAATCATCGACTTGAGAGGGGAAAGAATAGTGCTTGTGTTCAATCCATTAATCTCTGCATTCCCACCTGAATAGCGCAGAGTTGGGCAGAAATAGTTTACATGGGATTCAGTCAGTAATCTGAATATTCGATCAGTCTACAGTATTCATCAGCATAAACAAATCATCTCATGCTAGGGAGATAAGACTATCTCTCTTTAAATGGTAGCACCATTTAAAGCTGGAATGCTAGGACTTGGCAAATAACATTGACTGATAAATTCATCCATCACAGAAGACTAACATTAGAGGATTACCAAAGCAGAATCAGTTTTCTCTCATATAGAAAACAGGAGACATGCAAAGTCTTCAGCCCCAAATATCCAATCACCCTTTGAGAAATATTCCCTCACCTAAATAAAACACTGTCTGTCTGATTTCAATGAACTCCTCAATCTCATAAACATAATATACTGTAAACCATGACTCATTAGAAGTCGAGTTTCTTGTACCCAAGTTATTGTTTGTATTTCCCATTTTGTTAATAACTGAACTGAAAAAAAAACTTCAGCATCAAGAGAATCTGAAATGATGAGCAATTCCTATGTAAACCAATGTCTTTACCCTTTCAGCAGGCCTTGTATCTACTAAATATTTTTCTGGTGAACCAAACCAGTGGTACTTGAATGTTATGTTTAAAAAGTAACGAGTCCCCCTTACTCATGGTAGTGTTTTAAGAACTCTCAATACTAGTTATTCTTTACTCCAAACGCCCATTATATAACTTATTTGTATTAATGTTTTAGATCAGTGGTTCTTAACCTTTGTTACTCGGATGTTTTTGAACTGCAACTCCCAGAAACCCCAGCCAGCACAGTTGGTGGTGAAGGCTTCTGGGAGTTGCAGTCCAAAACTCCTGAGTAACCCAAGGTTAAGAACCACTGTTTTAGATTTTCAATGCATAAGACAAAATAAAACCAAAAAACACATCCCAGCTTCTGTGTTCATTTTTATCTTATTTCAAAAATTCTGTAGGCTGTCAACTATGCTACTTCATCAGTGCAAAGTGATGAAAGAGTTGTGAAGAATACTAAGTAAATTAAGAATGAATTAAATCTGCAATATGAGGAACAGAGATTGCAAACTGCAACCTTTTCTCCATCCAATCTATATATGATGTTATTATATCTGACCTCAGCTGTACCTTGGAGTATAAGTGACAAAACAGTGGGAGGATGCTAGCACGCTACTGTCTAGCTTTGGGACTTCCTAAAAGCATCTCTCACTGACCACTGCAGAAATGTGATGTTGGACTAGATGGGCCTTTGATACAATCCAGCAGGGCTCTTCTAATTTTTGTAACCTCGACAGCACTTCTCTCTTAGTCTGAAAACCCAGTTCCTGCCGCCCCATAGCTGTTTCCCCTTCTAAAACTCATCACAGCAGAACTTTAAAAATCTAGTCAAGCTGGGCACAGAATGTAGCTTTAGACCAGAAGGGATGACTGTTCCCCTTCTTTCCATTACTGTGGTGAGTGCAAAGATGAGACAGTAATACTGCTGATGGCCAGTGTTCAACTAAGATGCTTCCATAATATTATTCTTTCTACTCTATCAGGATGTCCTGAATCTAAGTGCCCCTATTCCATAGTGAATGTAAAATTTGGTGCCCAATAGATTCCTACATCTAGAGCTTGGAAATACTACTTTTTCTGGATTACATCTCCCCAAATCCCCCAGGCATTACAGCCACTGGCATGTACTGAAGGACTGTGGGAGTTACAGCCCAAAAATGTAGCTTAACTGAGCAGTGTTTATTTCTCTGAGAAAATACACTCACACCAAACTATTGCATGATTGTGTACAGTGTTTATTTCTCTGAGAAAATACATATTAGCACTCACACCAAACTATTGCATGATTGTGTAAATTAGAAATAATCAATTTTTCCTGCATAAAATCACAAAACTGATTTCAGTTTGAAATGCATAACAGCCAAACATTTATTTCACCAATGTAATTGTTATCTCTAGGAGGTCAGGAGTAGCCCTGAAACATGAACAAAGCTAATTTTTTTCTGGGAAGCTAGGATTCCCAACCCCAAACCAAAATTGTAACTGGGTGAAGATAAAACAGATTTTGTCCTACACATCAATCTAATACTGGGAAACTTTTCCATCTCTAGCCATATGGTGGACTAGTACCAACTCAGAGCTAAACTAGAAGATACAATGAAATGTGCAAATAAATGTGCAAATAAATTCCATGTTTGCTTTTCAATAACCTTAAGTAAAAAATAAGCTACAGAATGGACTGATCAGAATTAAGATGATGATGCTGGATCTAATTGTGAGAGAATATTAGATCGATGTCTTTCTTACCTAATGCATGTTTGCAAACAAATTCTCTCACCCAGCTCCTACCCTGGTTGCAATTTCCATGCTGGAATAGCATTTTCATGAAGGCAGTTTTTTGTTGGCACCACAGTGTGTGCTGGAGAAGATTAAACTCTCCCCTGAATGTTGATCAAAACCTTCCAGGGCTCTCTCATTTAAAAGACACATTAGGACAAATTAAGTGTATTCCTGCATTTATCATATTTTCTCTTTGGTTCTTTGTTTGGAGGAATTAAAGCTTAGTATTAAAACTTGCATCTCCAAGTAAAATCCAATGGGGAAAATTGCAGTAAAAGAAAGAGGGTGGATTTCAAGGATGACATTCTCTGCACTCTTATCTGGAAATTAGCCCTACTGAGTGCAACAGCCGGTACTGTGTTGTATTTTTCATGCTCAAAAGGGCAGCCACTCATTTTGCTCCAGTTTGTGACCAGCATTCAACCAGGCATACAACGTGGAGAAAACTACTTGTGGGCTATGACATCCCCACAAGTACCAAGTCCAACAGGATACTGGCCACCAAGACTTACATCCAAGCAGGCATGTGTAGCACTGCACTAAGCAGAGTGTAACTTAGTGCTAGATCTCAGCAGCTCTCCTGCATAAACCTCTTTGGAAATTAACTTCTCAGGACTATATATACATAAAGATATGGGAAAGGTGATTTAGCTCTTGGAATACCCTAGTTAGAATACCCATACTGGTTGGAGTGTTCTGGCAGTTGTAGTCCATGAAGTAAATTTCTCTGCCTTAGTCTTTACTGTGCTTAAAGTATAGCTGAAAATTAATGTACAATATACAGCGTATTTCTTCAGAAATTATCCTGAAATGAGTCAGTATCCTCCTAGGGTTCCTAATTATTTCAATGTCACTTTCATAGAAATCCATTTTAGTGTGTTGCACTGTCAAGAATAGTCTGGAATCATAACTGGAAATAGCAACATCTTCAATCACTCATCTGTAATCTCATGAATTTGATAGCCAGAGCAGGAAATTGTAGAGATTACTAGAGGGATGTCTTGAGATTTTAATATTGCTGTTAAATTTAACATTCTTTTTAATTTGCATTATTTGTGCCTGTTATTCTATTTATTATTCATGCATGTTTCTGTTTGTAAACATGCAATGAACATGAATGAACATTTATTCAGAGCAGCTGTTGCAGTATCTATTATTTTGAGTCCTACTGTACCTGTTAAAAAGAAGCTGTAGCACATCAAGTCAGGATGCTGAGCGTTGAGGAGATGCAAAAAATGTCCAGGTAAATAGACAGCCAGGTAATGGTCTGTTTTTGGAAGGGGTACAAGGGGAAAAAGCAGACTTGTCATGTTTTCAGAATCAATCTATACTTATTATCATCTGTTTGTTTGTTCAATGTATATATCATCCATTTGGCTGACCACTCTATATGCTAGACTGGTTATTCAGACTTCTGGTATTTAAAATATTATTTGCATGGACAATCTCATTAAATGCCCGTTAGCTATATCCCAAATATGTGCCAACTTCCAACTCAGTTCCCTCCTGAAGGAAAAATACACCCCTATATCTCAGAGGCACAAAAATACAAGGCAATGATATAAAGTTAAATGCTATGCCAGAGGAAATGAGCAGCTTGGCCATTCAAGTTTTCCCAACATGCATGCAATGGTCTCATGACTAACGACAATTAAAGCTATTTGTTCCACCAAATGGGATGAAGGACAGCTTAGAGAGCATTCCTTTTATAGCAATCCAGCAGCTTGAAAAACATGACAAAGACGCATGTGATATAAAGAGTGGGAAATAAATACATTTCTGTTTTTCACAAGAGAACCCCCATTCAGGCAGCTCACACTGTAAACCATGTCTTATCGTGAAGAGCAGCAAAAGGGAGACTTTGTAGCCATCAACTTACCAAGATGCAAAAAAGTCAGATTGCTCACTTGCAAATAATCCATTCTTTCCAAAGTAACAGTGTATATTCTACTAAAACCTGAAAAAGGTAAGAGATGGTGATTTAAGCCCAGTTTCCAACAATGATTTCTGAAAACAAATCTAAAAATACAAACCCTGACATTAGGAAATCTGCTCTAAAACTTTGATCACCAGTTTTAAACATGCCTTTGTTTATATTTCCACTGTTCTGGATGTTGTACACATGTCAGTGAAAAAAATGTAAAATGACAAATGTAATTTGTAGGCTTCTTATTCCATTTCAAAACTTGTACTGGCTTACTCTCAGGCTGGAAGTGTTATTTCAGCTCCTATCAGGTATTCTGCAGAATGATCTGTTTTGCATGATTACTTGGCTGCAAAGTATTTTCAATTAGGGGGCAGAAGGACGTGACACATGCCAATATATACATTGCAGGTGAATGTCAATTTATTATATGTCATGATCAAAGTTTCTTATAAAGAACAGAAATTTCCCTCAGAGAGAAAAAATGGATCAAAATGCCTTACAGCCAAAATCCTTCGCATGCTCACTCAAAAGAAGCGCCTTTTGGGTTCAGTGGGCTTCTCTCTTGGGGAAGATGGCAATTTAAATCACTAGAACTATATTTTCCTCTTCTGCCTGCCTGACAAAGCACAGGCTTTGAGATGCAGCGTACTCCTAATATATTTATCAAATATCACTTTTAAAGTAAATGTGTACAGGTACTAGAAGAATCTGGTTCTCACATATCAGCCTGTCATAAGAAACAGGTAAGTCCATCTGCAAGAAAACAACACGCTGGAATGACAGCCCTCTTTTGTTCTAGTGTGTTACACTCTAGGCTTGAGTGTGGAAATCAATGGCTCTAGTACATGCTCAGTTTTGGCCTGAAAAGTATTTAATGATACAGACATCATATTGTGATCTCTTGTAAGTATTATTAATTTAATACATATTGGTTGAAACGATGTAACTATGCTGTTTGAAATAACAATAACAGAAAACTATCAACATATTTATTATGCTTTGAAGAAGTCAATGAGTAAAGGCTAAAACTAGAAGTTGATCATTGGTCTTCGGGGTGCCCAAGTACTCAGGGCTGTTGTTGTTGTTTTTTGACTTGTTTGTTTTAAAAACCAAAATACATAAATATAGGTTCATGCCTAGTAAGATATGAGAAAGCAAAATCTAGTATATTGTACTGTTGTGAGATATTGAACGCATGCTAAAAACACAACTTAAATTATGATGAAGAGTGGGGGAAATGCTAGGATGGGTAAACTGTACACATTCAATAGACAAGTGGGCCAAGAGAGATCAGGAGCTCTGAGATGGAAACAAAATGTGCCAAAATGCTGCAGTCATCAACAAAAGGAATGATGCATGCTGGAACAGATACAGCAATGTTGGAACTAGGCTGTTCAGTGCTGTCAAGTTGGAACTGATGTATAGTGACCCTAATAGTTGTCTTCAAGGTAAGTGAGATATTTAGGAAGTAGGTTTAATAGATGCACCCCCATTGTGATTTTCCATGGCCAAGTGGGGATTTGAGAGCAGGTCTCCATGATAGCACCTTGGGTGTCCATTTAGACAAGGCTATAACCCTACATATGCTTACCCTGAAATAGGTCCTATATGTCTCTAATAATCAGACTTATTTTGGATAGAATTATATTTGTACCTTTATGTAGGAAAGAGACAGAATAAGTCACTTCTTCAGGATGAGCAGGAATGAGACTGCAACATATGCTTAAACTTCCTGCAAGGAACAGTTAAGAAATTAAAACTATACGATTCCCACTTCAATAAAACATTATTAAACATATGGAAAAGCACCTCTTCTTTCCCTGCCTACCAACTACAGGGTAATGTGATATCTCTTCAGTGGTTTAATTAATATCATGAGCAACTTATTTTGCAGATTTAAAAGAAAACAGATTGGCTGGGTGTGCACAACATTTCTCAAATTTTGGGTCTGAGATCCGACAACTTCCTTCAGTTCTCCAAAGCCTTTTAGTATCTAAACTTGTGATCTGATAACTTTCTAAAACATGGTCTATAATGTTCATGCTGTTACTGTAAAAGTATTCTGAAACTGCTCTTGGATTTATGGCTACTGTGTTTTCCATCTTTGAATATTTATCATTCCTTTTGATAAAAAAGGATGGTGTGTAGGAGTTTAATGCTCTATTTCTGTCTTTGACCATGAGTTCTCAAAATGTTGGGAAACAAAGATAAAATTTTATTTATTTATTTATTTATTGTATTTATACCCCACCTATCTAGTCATTTCGACCACTCTAGGCGGCTTACAACAAATGGTAACAAGTTCTAAAAAATTTATAACAATTAATTAATTAGATGATTCTATAAGATGGGAAAAATAAAAATAAATCAAATAAAGAGAGAGAAAAAAAGGAAAGAGGAGAGGAATTAACGGGAAGGGAAGGCCTGCCTAAACATCCATGTTGTTAGTTGGTTATTAAAAGTACCCAGCGAGGGTGCAGCGCAAATCTCTGGAGGTAGGTTATTCCAGAGACGAGGAGCCACCACTGAGAAGGCCCGGTTTCTAGTTCTTTCTTTCCGGGCCTCCCTTGGCGTCAGGCTCCTCAGCCTCACCTCTTGGCTCGCACGGGTGACATGGGTAGAACTAGTTGGGAGTAAGCGTTCCGCCAAGTATCGAGGTCCTAAACCGTTTAGGGCTTTATATGTAAGCATTAACACTTTGAAGTCAATGCAGAAACGGATGGGCAGCCAGTGCAGCATGGCCAGAGTAGGAGATATGCTGGTATTTTCTCACTCCAGTAAGGAGTCTGGCCGCCGCACTCTGCACTACTTGAAGTTTCCGCATCAGCTTCAAAGGAAGCCCCACGTAGAGCGCGTTACAGTAGTCTAATCTAGAAATTACGAGCGCAAGTACTAAGGTATTAGTAAAATGTAAATTAGTAAAATGTATACTACGTTATGTTTTGCTGTTCCATATGACACCCATTTCATTTATTGTATTACATTTTCAATGTTTTACTGTAAGCTTACATAATATAAAAGCCATGTTAATTCTATGGTCCAATCAAATGAATCTCAGACTGTTTAACTAAATTCACTGTATTTGCTGTAAAAGTAGATTTATTGAAGATGAGCCTGTCAGGGAGTTCAGGGAGTCCCACGCTAACCACTAACATACACTACCCTGTCCATCAAGGTGTAGGTGAAACTTTGATGATTGTTGTTTAGTCGTTAAGTTGTGTCTGACTCTTCGTGACCCCATGGACCAGAACACGCCAGGCCCTCCTGTCTTCCACTGCCTCCCGGAGTTGGGTCAAATTAACATTGGTGGCTTCGTTGACACTGTCCAACCATGTTGTCCTCTATCATCCCCTTCTCCTCTTGCCTTCACACTTTCCCAACATCACGGTCTTTTCCAGGGAGTCTCCTCTTCTCATGAGATGGCCAAAGTACTGGAGCCTCAGCTTCAGGATCTGTCCT